GGACTAGACGGACCAGGCCAGCAGCTTTCGAGACCATCAACATTCTAGCCACTGAAGAGATTTATTTACTCACATTCACTTAGTTTGCCATCCTTTTGACCGGTCTAATGAAGTACAACGGATTACACTAGGATATATAGTGTCTTACATGTTTATACTTACACATAGCTATATGAATGTATGTATGTGTGTGTGGGTGAAAAAGGATTACACACACCGAGAGAAAGACACCCACACCTACTTATCTACAATAAAGGAGTTGCATGCATTTCCAATGTCCAGATGAGTTGTGTATGTATGTATGTGTGAGTGTGTGTGTGTCAGTGGTAAGGATTATTGTGTGGCAAGGAAGCATTAAGGATAAATATTTTATGTGAAATATAGTTTCATTCAATTTCTTCCTTACACTTCACTCGGAGCTCCTTGTGTCTCGAAGCTGTGTGTGTGTGCGTGTGTGTTGATATATTAAATATATTTTGTGTTGTTATTTTTTTGTTTTGTTTTTGTTCTCTCTCTTTGCTGTTTCTTTCACATATCCTTGGAAACCGAACAGAAGCTTTCATTGCATAAATTTCGTTTGAGTGGCCACAGGCAGCAATTTAAGTTATTCATTAAAATTATTTCATAATAGCATCATAAATAAAAGCCTGTAGACTACTTAATAATAGGACATAGTATCGGTAATGTGCAGTTGTGATGTGAATTATAGCAGTAATATCAATCATATATAAGGGCATAATAAATACAATAATACGAAGTAAATAGAATGTTTGAAAGAAGGGGTGGATTATTAGGTCAGAGAAAGTGAAACTCATCGGCTTCATACCACAGATATCCAACCAGACTCGTCCACATCGCTTAGATAATGGTCATGACTGGCGTCTTGATGGGTCCTGATGTCAGAGATAATAGTCCTCATCTCATGGCCGTGACAAATATGCAGAACATTTTTACTAAGTGAAAATGGTCATGATCTGTCTTTTACTAAGATATCATTTTCCTGACCGGCCATTATCTCAAAGATAATGACTGGCGTCTTGATGGGTCCTGATGTCAGAGATAATAGTCCTCATCTCACAGATAATGGCCGTGACAAATATGCAGAACTTTTTTACTAAGTGAAAATGGTCATGATCTGTCTTTAACTAAGATATCATTTTCCTGACCGGCCATTATCTCAAAGATAATGAACCTGACTGGCTCTTATCTCAAAGATAATGGACCTAACTGTATCTTATCTCAGAGATAATGAACCTGACTGTTCCTTATCTCAGAGATAATGGCCTCACTGGCTGTTTTCTCAGATATAATGGTCCTTACTGGCCCTTACCTTCGAGATAAAAGTCATGACAGGCCATTATCTCAGATATAATGGTGCTGACTGGCTCTTATCTCAAAGATAATAGCCTGACTGGCCCTTATCTTAGAGGTAATGGTCCTGACTGGCCCTTATCTCAAAGATATTAGTCCTGACTAGCCCTTATCTTAGAGGTAATGGTCCTGACTGGCCCTTATCTCAAAGATATTAGTCCTGACTGGCCCTTATCTCAAAGATATTAGTCCTGACTGGCCCTTATCTTAGAGGTAATGGTCCTGACTGGCCCTTATCTCAGAGATAATGGTCCTGACCGGCCCTTATCTCAGAGATAATGGTCCTGACCGGCCCTTATCTCAGAGATAATGGTCCTGAATGGCCCTTATATCAGAGATAATGGTCCTGACCGGCCCTTATCTGAGAGATTATGAACCTGAATGGCCCTTATCTCAGAGATAATGGTCCTGGCCGGTCCTTACCTCAGTGTTAGTGGTCATGACCGGCCCTTATCTCAGAGATAATGGTCCTGACCGGCCCTTATCTCAGAGATAATGGTCCTGACCGGCCCTTATCTCAGAGATAATGGTCCTGACCGGCCCTTATCTCAGAGATAATGGTCCTGACCGGCCCTTATCTCAAAGATAATGGTGGTGACCGGCCCTTATCTCAAAGATAATGGTGGTGACCGGCCCTTATCTCAGAGATAATGGTTCTAACTTGCCCTTATTTAAAATATAATAACCCTGACTGACTCTTATCCCAGAGATAATGGTCCTGGCTGGCTCTTATCTCAGAGATAATGGTCCTGACTGGCCCTTATCTCAGAGATAATGGTCCTGACCGGCCCTTATCTCAGAGATAATGGTCCTGATTGGCCCTTATCTCAGAGATAATGGTCCTGATTGGCCCTTATCTCAGAGATAATGGTCCTGATTGGCCCTTATCTCAGAGATAATGGTCCTGAACGGTCCTTATCTCAAAGATAATGGTGCTGACCGGCCCTTATCTCAGAGATAATGGTTCTGACTTGCCCTTATTTAAAAGATAATAACCCTGACTGACTCTTATCCCAGAGATAAAGGTCCTGGCTGGCTCTTATCTCAGAGATAATGGTCCTGACTGGCCCTTATTTCTGAGGTAATAGTCCTGTCCGGTCTTTAAAGGATAATTGTACTTACTGGCTCTTATCTCAGAGATTATGGTCGTATCTGGCCATTATGTCAGAAGTAATGGTCCTGATATAAGGGACGTCACTAGCCTCAATGCAGATATATGTCGATCCGTATCGGGCCGACAAAGGTGCAAATTACTTTTTTACTCAATAACAATGGTATTGATCGCTCCTTAATTCAATGATAATGATCCTCATGCGTTCCTATATCGAAGATAATCGTCCTTTCCATCAATTATATCATTTCTCAAAGTTAATGCTCCTGACCGGCACTAATTTTAGAGATTATGGCCCTGACTGACCTTTTTTAGTTCTTTTTTTCCTGACTGGTCCTTTTCAAAGAGACAGAGGTTATCCCAGTACCATTGTTAATAGCCAGCCATTATCTCAGAGACTCTATCCATCAAGCGTTTATATTGATTGTCTATCCATCTAATTCATTGCATCTCCTACTTATATATAAGTCCCTACTTGCCTTCTGTTAAAGACATTGTTTTTTATTTCCAATTTATTTCCACAAATTACTTCCAGTACGTTGCCTATATATATTTATTATATACCATATGTATCATAAAGTAAACATGGCCACTTAACACAAAAAGCAATGCATACAAATTATCCTTTCTGTTCATGTACATATGTATCCTTTTACTGGTGCTTAACGCATTGAGAACATAAGATATTACCGGGGAAAAAAGGATAACAACAACACAAACAAAGGCCGTATGTATTCGATTTTCTCAAGGGCGTAATATTTTTAATGAATTATGAATGGATCACAAATATACAGTTGATTTTCACAGCTGAGACTGGCTGGCTGGCGAAGTATGAATGGTCGTCGGTCATCGCATCCGTCCGTTATGACCATTGGAAGCAATCGAATGAAATCTTTGCTTTAAGCTACCGAAATAAGAAAAAATATTGCTTAAATTGCAAAAACGTATTTCCATTCTTTTTTATGATATTTTTATCTTCAAGAATATTGTTGGGCGTCCAGCCCTGGACATCATTGCTTCATAAATTGTCATCCTTTTTTTGGGGGTTTACTATTTATTATTATTGTCCTGAATTATTTGACTCTGTTGACTCAGTTTATTTGCATTCGTTAAGGATAAGGCTGTAAAAACAGAAATGTATATTTGGCCACTGCAAGGGAGAACCATAAAAAATCTTTATATGACAATAGAACAAGTGAAGCATTTTATTATTACTAATGGGTGACTACCTTACTATAACATGCAAAATTACGAGGGTATGGGCCACTTTTTTAAAATGAAAAAGGGGTTTATTTTAATAAATTTAATTTGTTTATTTACATTTTATTTGCTTGCTCACTTTATTTTATAAATATAGAGAATAGTTTTAAGTAAAACAATTTTTCATAATCTTCTTTATTTCTTTCCAGAACCGAGACACAAGCAGTGGCATACAAGGTAAGTTTTTGCTATTACATTTCACTTCCTTTCTAGAATTCGTAATATTTTTCTTCTTCTTGTTTGGTTATTATCTTAAAATTGCATTATGTTTTATATGTATGTAAAGTGCAGTTTGAGTCCATAGGACTACCATTTAATCTTAATTAAGAGTTTATTGTTTTTAGAATATTTGTTCTAGTCGAATACACCGTTTAAAGTTTAGTTCGTTTCATTTGTTTGCTTTGCTTTTCGTAATTGTATTTCTTACAAAAAAAAATACTAAATGATATGAAGCTCAATAATTTTACAAAAAATAATAATAACAATTGTCATGTGTGAAACATTGCATAGCAACTAATCAATGAGGGGGCAGACACGAAAAAGACACATACACAAACAGTCAATTATATAATGATGTTGGCGACACAACCTAAAATTCATTATTTTTTGCTTTTCTTTGCTATTTTCTTTTCTTTGTTATTAATTCTGTTTTATTAAAAACTAAACTTATAGCCTAGTGAAAAAAATTGTCTTTTCTCTTGCAAACCGTAAAGTGATTGATCTTTTGCATTTCGATATTTGGTGTTAACATGGCTTAACATCAAAACATTGGTGTAGTTTATAAACCGCAACTTAATTAAACCTGACTATAGAGGTATTCCTACACCAATGTCATATAAACTAAGACTCGAAAAAATTGGAAGTTTCTTTTTTTCTTCTCTAACATACTATACCCTAAATATTATCACAAGCTTTACAAAAAAATGAAAAGAAAAATTAAGCAAATAAATAAAATATTTAACAAAATTTCAAGAACCATTTACAAAATCTACAACCTAAATATTTAATCTATATAAACAGGCTTTAGAAAACATTATTACAAATTTAAAATAAGTTCTTAAACAATTACAAAATTTTTAAATAATAATAATTATACATACAATTTAGTTTTTTAAATATATATAAATTTAGATAGAGAGAGAGAGAGTATTAACACAGGGTTTACATCGAAAAAAATAATCATTTTTCAAATAAATTCCTATTGGAGAATTGTAGTGTTAGGTAGTAGTAGTTGTTGATTGACCAGCCAGATTGTTGTGACAGTTTTAGACGGAAAATAAATTACGTATAAACTGTTCAAATTGCAGTGTATCTCAGCTGAGGAAATAGCCCAAGGGTTTCGATTTTCCATTTTTGCTTATTATGGCTTTTTGACCTGAAAGATAAGAGGAAAGAAAAAAAAATTGTGCTAGTATCAAAAATATATTTTATACTAATTACTAAAACAGATTATATGATAAAATTATTCGCTAGGTACATAAAATATATAATTTGTATACCCAATCCCTAAACGTCCGGCCACGATTAAATAAATTGTTAGTAGCCGATTTTTTTAAACAATCTTTTTCCCAAGGTCTACAAGAGGCGTGGGTTTTTCAAACAATATTTCTTGAAGGTATACAAGAGGCGTGGGTGTTTAAACAATATTTCTTCAAGGTCTACAAGAGGTGTGGGTTTTTCAAACAATATCTTTTCAAGGTCTACAAGAGGTGTGGGTTTTTCAAACAATATCTTTTCAAGGTCTACAAGAGGTGTGGGTTTTGCAAACAATATTTTTTTCGCCGTCTACGTGAGGATGACGATGAGTTAGAAATTAACCACGGAATAGATTCCATAGCTTTGTCTAAAATCTCTCCTGGATAAGCTACAACACATAAATCTTTTCACGTACTCTGTAAATACTGTGGGCTTCTGGAAATCCTCTATCCGACTTCTGTAGAGGCCCTAAACTTATGCATTGAAGGGCAAAGCCATTTGGTGTTTATAAGTTCGACCTGACCGGCCCTTATCTCAGAGACCGGCACTTATCTCAGAGGTTATGGTCCTGACCGTCCCTTATCTACGAGATAATTGTCCTGATTGGTCCTTATCTCTGAGATAATGGTCATTATCTCAAAGATAATGGACCTGACTGACCGCTTTCTCAAAGATATTTTTTCTGTCTGGCCCTTATCTCAGGGATAATGGTCCTAACTGGTTCTTATCTTAGAGATAATGGTCCAGACTGGTCATTTTCTTAGAGATAATGGCCTCAACTGGCCCTTATTTCAGAAATAATGGTCCTGACCGGGTTTTTCAGAGATAATGGTCCTGATCGTCTTCATCAGTCCTTTACTCAAATATAATGGTCCTGATTTGTCCCTATATCGGAGGTAATCTACCTTTCCAAAATTATGTCTGTTTGTCAGTACCAATGTTAATAGTCGACTCTTATTTCAGAATCTTAATCCGTCAAGCTTTTGTATTGATGAACTCAGTGGACCATACATTCATAAATAAACTAGTTTTGTATTTACTTCAATTGTATTTTTTAAGAATTCAATTTCCCAAAAACTGTCAAAATTTCAATTTAATACAACAACAAGTTTTTCGTCCATTATAACGTGTTCTTTTTCCCCTATCAATGAACTTACCCTCACTATCGGAAGCACCCGATACACCCATATCCGATAAAGCTTTAAAAAGAGCACCTAAATTCGAACGATCATCCAAATATTCATGATTCAACTTGACCATGGTGCGTTCATGATTTTTAGTTTGTGTATGCCACACAAGGATTTCGGTGCAATTGTTACCCTTCGGTTCAATCATGTCCAGCGTTAAGCCAATGCTGCGCAAAAAATAATCCTCTTCATAGCCCGGTTTATAGGGCATCGATGCATTTGGATGTTCCGACATATAGGCAAGATTAACAGCAAAACCAGCCATATCAACGGGCCAACGTCTGCCTGCCACCCAGGAGTCGAGGAAACCAATTACCTTGCCCTGTGTATAATAGAGAAGATAAATTTGCTTAGTAAAAACAAACACACACATACACATTAAGTGATTTAGTTGCTACAAACCTTACGCACCACTGGCCCACTAATGCCATAATTGGCAATTAGGCCGACAGGAAACATGGATACATGTTTGGTGTCACGTATTTCGCTAAATAACTTGAGATCATATGTGTTGTCGTCATCGCCGAAATACAGCACACCGGTTGTAATGTTATGCTGGCGCAGCCATTGCATGGCAGCACGTCGATTGGCTACCCCTCTTGGTTTCGATTCGGCTTTGTGAAAACGTTGAGGCATGGGACTTGCCAAATGGGTATAGGGAATACCTAAACAAAACAAAAAAAGAAACAACAATAAAAATAACAAATTGCAATAAAACAGAATACAGAATGCCACTACTGAAGCGACCATAATACAAACAACACAAAAAGTGTGACGCCATCGGTATGACCAACATTATCATCATCAGCTAGGATTTAACCTTATTTACTTGCCACTTGGCAATGTTTGTATATTGGTCACACATACACACACACCCATACACATGTATGTATGGCTATGTATGCATTCGCACTTACCAAATCGATTAAGTAAAGTATCTAAATAAGGATTGCAGACATTGTGATCATTGGCCACAATCCAATGCAAGCGCGGCACATGCAGCAACGTATAGGCCAGCCTCGTTAATTCCGGCACTTGTTCTCGCCTTGGATATGTGGGAGTTACAAAGTAAATTGTACTTAAATTTGCCCATTCCTGTCGTGGTCGATCCTGTATATAGAGGCGTGTGTCATTAAATGACTCACCGCACAGGGTTGACGGAGATTCATTGCCCGATTTATTGTCTAGTATATCTGCAATGGAAATGAAAGGAAATAAAGAAGATGAGTGTCATTTTTGGTGGGGACAGAGTTTTTGGCTTATCATTAAATTTAAGAGAGAGAGGGGTAATAAAGGGCATCAGACCTAAAAATATTCTTTATTGGCATAGATACATATTTGTATAGTTGTGATTGTCTACTCTGGGTTGGCATCTTATATAGTATTTATGTTCTTTTTGTTGTTGGTTTTTTATTCTTCTCTCTATCTGTGGTTGGCCTTTTTGTCGTTCTCATTTAAATTGGCTAAAAATCTATTTTAAGATTAGAACGACAAGAACACGATAATAATATGTACAACAACAATAATACAGGGCATAACCAAATCATAATCTATTGATACATTTAAAACAATGGGCTAATTTGTTTGGAAGTCTTATTAAGATTTGCTAAACTTTAACAGAATAGGCTAAGCCCCTTTTATGCACTCTACCATAAGCTGGAAGGAAACATTTTAAGATGTTTGAGAATGAAAGGGGATATGGTATAGCATATATTATCTATATTTTAAAGGTTATCGCCGCTTTTCCAACCGAAGTGGCTGTAATTTGGCATTCCGTGGTCCACAAGGAAAGAAATATGACCCTAATATAATTGTTCACCAAATATGACCACAATTAGTCATTCCGAAATAACCCACTTAATGTACCGTCCGAATTAAGGGGTATTTTGAAGGTCATAACTTCATTTTCCATTCGAAATGGAAAAAAATGCATTTCTAGTTCTCATAAGATTAGATATTCTTTGATGTTCCACATATAACGGAAAGCACTAATTTTAGTATTTTGAAGGCCCTAGTCCGCATTTTTAAAGTAAAAGTATGAAAATGCATACATTTAGTATTTTCATACTTATAAGGGAAAGAAATGGTTTTTAGGTCCTTCTTTGGTTCTTCGGATTATGGTCAAGGGATATATAAACATTGATACGGAATTATTGGGTTTCTTCCAAACTTTTTTCAAGTTCGAATATGGGAAATATCGATCCACTCATTCTGGTACCTCCCCTACAAAATGGTAAAATTTTTGGAAAAAAAATTGTTTTTGTGATATGCGAACGGACTATCCGATTTGTAGTAAACTTTGTACAATAGATTATCTTTACCAAACCTAGATCAAGCCCGAAAATAGGACCCATTGTTCACTGCTTCTGGTACCTCCCACAAAAATGGTCAAATTTTCAATATTCAATACAATATTGGGCGAATGGAATAAGAAATTTAACACAACCTATAATTGTTACCAAGATCAAGGTCGAAGGTGGGACCCTTCACTTCTGGTACCTCCCCCACAAAGGGTCAATATTTCATAAATTTGTAAATTTAATTTGAAGCGGATTGAATAACCGATTTTATTAACTTTAAATCCGAAGAACTCCGTTGATCAGAATTTTTCACTGACACGTTTTTACTTGTTAAGGGAAGGAAATTGCTTCTCTTTTTGGTCCTTCGGACACCTCATGGCCCATTGGTTTTTCCATGGGAAGATAGTTGCGTTGCCTAAGAATATGTTGCTCTTGTTTATACTGCATCCATTTATTGGACTCTCGCCAACCATCAGCCGCAAGTATTTTGGTCTCATCAGTGAGCTAAAAATTGTTTTTTTTTTTTCCTAGGAGATGAGGCCTATGTTTCGATCAAAGAGTTGTCAGTTGTTGTGGCTGCCTCATTGATTTTACATAATAGGCTGAGGTGACTGGCGTTGGTTGATTAAGACTTGAGTTGTTATATTGCAGTGACCTGGAGTTCAGAAATTCGTTTTTTGTTGTTGTTGTAGGAACACGTAAATACATATTTGTTTTTTCCCCCATATTATTCCGATTATGAATCATCTTTCTCCAGGTTCGAAAAGGTTGAAACCTAAATCGGCTACGATCGACGAGCTTTTACAAACCGTTGAGTTGTATTATAGAAAGAAAAAAATAAAAACAGATTTCTACAGGATCAGATCGCTCACATCCAAAGAGAAATTAACGAAGTGTACTATTGCCGTTTATGTGAAATTTCTGAACCAACGACCATGATGTTCAGCGGGAGCTTCGTTTCTGCCATCTATTCCAGATATTATAAAGTCCAAGTGGCTCTTCAATGCCTATTCTTCTCTACGTTTACATAAGCGATATAGAACTATTATTACATTTATGGTAGCCTATAGAGAGATTTTTATATATCTGGGTTAATATATTTAATATATTAACCCAGATATATAAATCATGCAGTACACCTTTTACTGCTTTAAACTGAATGCTAAAGCTCTGCAAAGACGGAATTTCGAACATAACAGCTGTACTACGTGTAGTTGGTATATCTGGGTTTTAGAACGACGAAGATTCTTAATTTAATTTTTAATTTTTTGTTATTTGAATTTTGCCTTGTAAGGGCAGTGATCATTTGAAACTAATTTTAAGTGGTTATTTATACTTTTTCGAGTCGAGCTTGATGATCTATGTTTTGCAATGAAAAGGAAAGCCAGGAGAAGATCCTACGTACCCACCATTATGCGACGCGTTTCGCCGTTGGTTAAGCGGCTCATCAAATTTGAATTTAATTCGCATATGCAAGTTTCGCATCAGGGCGGAATAAATACAAGTTATCAACGTACGACATTTGTAAAGGCACATAGCCCAATATGCCTGATGAGCCGCTTAACCAACGGCGAAACGCTTCGCATAATGGTGGATACGCAGGTTCTTCTCCTGGCTTTCCTTTTCATTGCAAAACATAGATCATCAAGCTCGACTCGAAAGAGTATAAATAACCACTTAAAATTAATTTTTAATTTTTGTCTCTTTAATGAATTTATCAAGACAATTGTTCAGTTGTTGCTTGATCTGACACATACAAATACAGCCAATGTGGTCCCAAAACCATATTCGCATCGATAACCTCTTCCTCAGTAACGATTACCGAGGTATTTCAAGGAAAGTTTTATTGATATGTCATTCAACAGCGTTAACAGGCAAAGAAGATGAATGTACTGAGCCTATAAGAGCTATTTTTATCGTACTAAATTGTACAAGCCAGATAGGCCGTAGATTTAAAATATTCACTTTGTATGCCTCATTAAAATTTGTATATTTCGTCAAACAAAAAAAATTTAGTATTTTTTTTTCAAATTCCAATATTTCTATCTGGGATGATCTCACACATATTTCTAAAAAATCGCCACAGTGATCTAATTTTCTGATCTCGAGTTTCATATGAATGCAATTCCCATTTAAAAGTCTGCCATTCATCATTTTTTTACCTTATAAAATATGTACAAGCTAAAAAAATATAGCCTAAATAGCCATTGGATTTATTAATGCGAGCAATACAAATTAAATTTATAATTGAGAACACAGTAGTCCATGTTTCACTTTTTTGTTGTCAGTGGCAAGTTGTGACTCACATCAAATGCCTTACGTTATCTAGACGACACTCTCCAACAAACAAGATCAAATATATTTTGTGGCACATTGATTTGACGGTGACACACAAGGGGAGGTGGGAAATGCCCAAAAAATAAAAATTATCTTTTCGCAGTGATAAAGATTATTATAAATCGTTTAAAGCATATGAGTGTCATTAACATTTGTATTTATTTTATATTTTCAATATATGCCGTGTCCGTGCATGCGTGTGTCTGAACGTACAATCGCCAATATGTGTGTAAAAATGTTCAATGTTCAAATTTTCTTAGATAAAAATTGTGCGTTTTGCAAATCATTTGCTTTGGGGAAATACAAAATAATGAACATATTTTTTTTTAAATACATGTGAATATAATTATGTACATAGCAGTGTTATGCTACTACTACGTCACATGTATATATCACCTGCCTGCCAACACACTTCTCTATAGAATGTTATTTGATAATGAATTTTAAAGAGCGATATTGATAATCGTTTATTTAACAATAAACAACGAGGCATGAAAACAACAACCATTGCAAATAAATTCAAAATTTTCAAATGGGCTAATTCTGAACACAGATTTTATATTCTTATCATTTTACAATAGAACGTTAATAAATTTATTGTTAACAAACGTAGTTTATTTATTGATGAGAGATAATTATGTCTATTACTCTCATGGCCATTTTCAGTCATTTGATTCAAGTTGAGTTTCGGAATAAATGTGGGAAATTCAGAAAATAAAGCGGCATTTACAGTAGAACTTTTTGTCGGGATAACCTCCTCTATGAGGATTTATATGACATATATGTAATGCAACAATTTATATCTACTGGATTTATTATTATCGATTATTATAATACCTAAATTTGTATTTGGGAATTAATAAAATCAAAATGTAAACGTGGTATCTAAATTTGCAGATTTAATGCAGTATTTATTTTTCTCCTCTATAACGTTCGTCATATTGAATAATTTTTTGTTTGCTCACCAATAACAATTTACCATTTAAAATTAATGTACTTAAATCCAATTACGCAGTATTAAAAATATAAAAATATGCCTGGCATTAGCGTTTACTTTAGGTGTTAAGCAACAAACAAAAGAAACCCGAATTAAACCAATAATAATCTGAATTTGCGCATATATGGTTACTTTGTACATATTTGGATAGACTATAAATAAATATACACATATTATCGCTAATGCAATGATATGGATTTCAAATCGAAAAAAAAATAAAATCTCCTATGTTTTTATAAAAAAAAAAAACTATAAAACACGTAAAAAAGTTTAATTCGGTGCTGCCTATGGTTTGCATAAGTCTTCGGAATTACACACAGGTTTTTTTATTCTCTTTATATAGGATATATGTTTTTTAAAAGAAGTCACGGACTTAATATAGATCTAATCGGTTATACAATTCGCTTCAAGATAAATTTAAAAAAGATTATAAAGTATTGACCATTTGTGGGGGATATACCAAAGTGAGAGGTCCGACTAGTTCCACCTTCAAAATTGATCTAGGCTTAGTAAAGATAATAAGTTGTGCAAAATCTAATTCAAATCAGACATTCATTTCGCATAATATTAAATTTATACATATTTTGACCTTTTGTGACGGAAGTACCAGAAGGAGTTGTCCAATGGGTTCCATTTGATCTAGGCTTGGTAAAAATAATAGGTTGTGCAAAGTTTGAATTCGCCTTATATTGAATTTATAAATATTAAAAACGTTGACCATTTGTGGGCGAGGTACCAGAAGGGGTGGACCAATGGTTTCCATCTTTGGACTTGATCTAGGTTTGGTAAAGATAATAGGTTTTGCAAAGTTTGGCTTAAATAGGTTTATCCGACTCGCATGATATTATAAAATTAATTTTCAGCAACATTTTGACAATTTTGTGGGGCAGTTGACCGATATTTCTCATCTTCGAACTTGAACTAAGTTTGGATACAAATTTTACAATAGTGTTGTTGTTGTACCAGTTTCTACAGCTATGTATTTTCTCTTGAATCTGTTTCTGCTTCTAACTCCAGGTTCAGAAAGGCTGCGAACTGTACCGAATGTGTCCAAAGTGAAGATAGGGTTAGTTGATTGGGTTTGGATGGACATATAAAGATAATAGGTTTTGCAAAGATTGGTTCCAATCGGATATTCCGTTCGCATGACATTATAAAATTAATTTTCAGCAATATTCTGACCATTTTTGTGGGGAGTTACTGGAAGGAGTGGATCAATATTCCCCATCTTCGAACTTGAACCTTAGTTTGGCAAACAAATATTACGATGTTGTTGTTATAGCAGCTTATACTGCATCGTATTTTGATGAGTGGGTTTTGCTGTATATTTGATAAGGTGTAGCGTGTCAAATGGAACATATTACGATGTTCAAAGTTTGGATGAAGAGTTGTAGTGTGCACCAGCCAGACAGACTTACGGAGGGACGAATTTTGTAAATCTACTCCAAACTGTTTGAAACTGATTTGGTCCAAAGAAACATGGGGTATTTTGCCGTATCAAATGTATATACCCTAATTAACCTGAGGGTATAATTATGTGAAAGTAAAAAATTGTATCAATGAACATTCGAAATCGCCTGTAACAAAGGCCAAGGGAGAAGCAAAATCGATCACTATAAGCGATATTTCATTATAAACGATATCAAATAAAGAGCAGAACTTTTCATTTCTCGTGCCTTTGGATACGGTCGTTATAACCGATACGTCGTTATAAATGATGTTATAAACGATTTGGACTGTATTTTTATTTGGTGGTGGAAATCTCTCACCTCCTTCCGGAGGTACTTTTCTTCATATTTACAAAGAACTCATTTTCCGTAGTGATATTCCCATCCAGAAGTTAATAGGACTCTGTGAAACGGTTTTTGCCTGATACTTCCTTGGTTTTTTGCTTATTTGATGATGCTAATAAATCATCCATTTTGCAAATGCTTTCCTGCCTCGGTAGCATCGCCATGCAGTTGGGCTTTCCCTCTACACCAAGTTCAATAGTAAGTATTGGCTTTGATTATTGTCCTAGATTTGGGAGATTCACCTCAATACCATGGTATTAACTACAGTGTATTATCCACGTCTGTATGTAGAATCATCCCAGAGATTTGGAAAGACTCACTTTTCTTAATTAGAGACTGTCCGTACACTGAGTTAAAACTTAAAACACTGATGGATGGATGGATGTATGGACACGAGGACCCATTTGGAAAGACCCACTTTTCTTAATTAGGGACTGTCCGCACACTGACTGCAAACTGAAAACGTCTTATACTCCAGCGTTATTAATAACAATTTGACTCGGACATTTCCTGCTTATTTAAATCACTGCCAGTGACTTTTATTTGGCAAGCTACCACGAAAATCTGATATATTTTCAAGATGCTTGTCTATAGGAAAAAACATTTCTCCAACACCGAAACTTTTTGGTATAGGAAAAATACCGGGAAAGTTTCATATATAGAAAAAATTATATTTGGTGTACATCAGAACATTTTTCGTTATTGAAGAGGCTATAGTTTATAAAATAAAGGCCTATTCCTAGATCCAGTCCGAGCAAAAATATGGAAAAAAATTTAAATCTGTATACAAAACCTCGGAATCTGAGGATTTCTTCCTATTGGAAAAAGTTTATCCTCATGTCCTTTTGATTTTTTATAGAGAAACATTTCTAACCAATGGGAAAATGTTCCAGTTTCTTATATACATAATAATTTTTCTGGACACTTGTTTAACCCTGTGGTCCTATGGTTTATTCAGTTAGGAAAATAATCTGTATACAAAGTCAATTTTTTTGCTGTGGAAAATCCCTCAAGATTTGACGATTTCTACTATATATCAAAAACGCTTTAGGACATGGTGAATTAAAAAAAATTGTTAAAGCCTAGGAATAGGAAATTAAGTTCCATTCGGCTCTACAATTATTTTCTGTTGCAAAAACATAGCCTAATGTCCATAGGACAAATTTGTATGCAAATATAGGAATCAGGGTCAACTTGAGCATGTAATGAATTTATTGCTTAACGATTTTTTTATTTATTGAATATTTATTTTTCCATTGGGAAAAATTGAACTTGAAGCCTTCAGTATTTGGAGACTTCTTTTTAAAAATGTTCCCCAGTGCCTGATATAGGTTTGAATGAAATACAAATTAATTTGTAGGATAGGGTACCCCTATTACATTACATATCAAGTATCATCAAATAATTGCAATATATAAAATGACCTTTAGAATATAACCAGACTTTAAGTTATGTTAAAAATAATTCAATCTATTTCATCTCTATTTTTTTCATAAGGCCAGTTTTAATTCCTTATTATCAAACTCTCATGCCACCAAAACTTTCTATTTATAGTAATTATTTTAATTGTGTTGTACATTACAAATATTTGCTTAATATTCCCATGGTGATTTTCGTTCGTAATTCCTTTTTTTTACATGTACATAAAATATATACAATTAAAGCCCAAGCAATTTCATTGGCAACTTGCAATAACAATAAAATAAAAAAATATGTACATAAGCGGCGTATGTCTGGTAGGATAATGTTTATAACTTATTATTAATTGTTAATAGAGAACAACTAAAATTAAATATAAACAATATGTAGGTGGTAGTAGTTATTGTTTCGTGTCCAACAATTTTCGATATTTGCTTTTTAATGGATAAATTAAGGCAAATCGTGTAAAATAATCGTGTTCATGTCTTTGGTTATTTCCTTTTGTTTACATTTTGGTCTTTTGTTGTTGGCTAGTTGATTGGTTTGTTGGTTAGCACAGCTCCATCACCAAGTTTACACCACATAAAGTGCTGATTGTTGTCGTTGTTCGGTTTTTTTGTTTTTTTTTTTTTTTTTTGTGCTGGGTGCTTTGTGGGTGGGCATGCCTTTTTATTGTTAGGGTGGTGGTGGTGGGAAGGGAGTGGTGCTGATGGGGTATGATATAAATAATTGTGGAATTGATATATATCTCCCACAAAATAATAATAATTATAAATATCAGTTTAATGAATGTGACTAGGTATGGAATGGATGGGTGGGTGTATGGGTTACCAGCAATCGATTAGGATTTTGGTGGAGAAGGGAGGTGAAACAACATACACTCTTATGGAGGATAAAGAGCCAGCGCATGTGTATGCAATGCGCCCACATATCACCTCCTTGTCCTCCTGGCTAATGGCTATTTTGTTTGATTGTGGGTTGCATCATGGCTTGGCTACTCACTTGACGAGTTTTGCATATCACGTGCACTGACACTGCTGCCATTCGTTGGGTATGTTGTTGTTGGTATTGGGGACACAAGGAAGGAAGTATTATCCTTTGCCCTTTGTAACAGCTCTTCCAGCATAAGCGGCGCCACCTTGGCTGCCAGTAAAAAGCCATGTTTAGGTGGCTGTGTTGGTGATGTTGGTGCTGATGAGTTAATATTTGCCACATTTGTCGGAATCACATTAGTGGTAGTTGTGGTGCTGACAACGGCATTGCCTTCTAAGGTGCTATAAAAGCTTAAATTTTCTTTAAATTTACCTGTTGTAGATCCATAGGATCCTCGACTGTCTTCCGCATCACTGAGTACCGCACTCCAGACGACATATATCAATAGGGTCATTAGGATTAAAACCACCACAAACAAACGTCGGCTGTTGGCTGTCTTGGGCCATAAGGAACGCACTTTATTGCCACCCGCATATGAAGTTCGTATACCGGTAGAGGTTTGATTCGACCTTGTTGTGCCATTGCCTGATTCAAGTGGACGGTATAAGGCAGAGCTAGGCATGATATCACCTTAAAGTCTTATATATTTTTTTATTAGAACAGAAAATTCCGCTGGTCCTCAAATGCCGATTTTGTTTCGTTAGTTTATTGTTATTTGTTGTTGTTGTTATTTTTTGTACATAGCACCCAAATGATTTTCTTTTGTACTTTTGCCCTGCCCTCTGAACGTGAACTGTATTAAAGTAATATTATCGTCGGAATACACTGCCATCAGCACTCATCTCGTCACTTTAGCCAGACAGCCAGCCCCAAGTAGCGCAATAACAGGCAATGTTTTTTTGCATTTAAATCGTTGTCTCTGCGTTGTTGTTGCTGTTGTCTAGATTGTGGTGGGGTGGGTTGGGAAACAAAACACCACCGAGATGTTCTGCCGCAGCAGCTACTGCTTCTGCCAACGTTGTCCGGCAATCCCCATTTACCCCCAGAACAATAAAAGCAGAGTTCACAGTAGTTGTAGTAATAGGGGCAGTAGAATGAAGTAACCTCAATAGGAGAAGCGATCGATTTTTTCCATTTAATGTTGAGGAAGATTGTAATACTTGTTTTTAATTGGCAATAAACAACAAAGGCGGCCGCAACACTTCTTTTGTTTTTTAATTTATTTTTCACAATAGAATTTCTTGTTATGTTTGCTTTTTATTTCGAAATTTCACAAATCACTTTTCAGAGCATAATTTTGTATTGCCAAATCTGGGCATTGCCTTCATATTTTTTATTGTTGTTGTTATATTGTCTATGTTTTCCACTTAGTCAAAACCACTTCCAACAAATCAATGAATGAATGCCTGGGACGACGGCCAGTGATTTTTTTTCAGTATTTAACAAGCGTTTTAGCACAATTTCAATTGCCCCGTGTTAGCTGGCTTTTGCCTCTACTCAAACTGTTAATTATTTATTATTTTTGATTCGTTTATTTTGCAGAGATTAGCGTTGAATGTGCTTGATTATGCCTGGGAGTATAACGTTACTGTGTGGGGTAGTGCGAGAGTAGCAAGCAGCGAATTACAATAATAACAACACACAGCCGACGGAGAGGCAAATTGTTTTTGCATGAAATAAGAGAGAGAGAGAGAGCGAAAAAAAACATTTGTTGTTTTGACAGATTTTACTGGGTTGTAAAATTTAGTACTTTTTGATGGGGGGAAACAAACACAACAAGCAGTGATTATTCATGCGATAAATTGTACAATAATGAACAAAATGTCGTTCATTGAAATTATATTCAAATACAAAAATAAAATTAAATGGAAATTAAACACAAAATATCCAGGAGAAACACGAAAATATGCTTCCAAGAGAAAGACGTAAATAATTGTATTGTTTAACAACTGATCATAATGTAAAATTTCGGAAAATGAATTGTGGTGCAAAATAATTTTTCGAAAAACATTATAAAAGAGACGTGCCGATGTGATCCACCTTTGCTGTTTTAACAGTTGTAAAATCCCTAAACTTTGCGCCATTTATTAAGCTTTTTTCGTTAGCACTTTCATGCAATACAAATTGTAATTTAGACAAAATTAAAATAAAATTCAGGTAAGTGGCCCATAATAATTGAGAATATTCGATTTTTAATTTTTGTTTAATTCTAATAGGATGTGATTTGAAGTATTTCCTTCATATGTGTAGAAATTTCGTACAAGATTAGTTCAGGAAAAGAAACATTCTATACTCGGAGAAAAAGTCAATCACACAGGAAATGAATACAAAATGGACCAACAGCCAACATTTGCTTTTTGTTCCTTCTATTCCCGTTTTAAAATTGGCGACTTTCCAGAATTCACATCGATAATTTATATTGGAAAAGTTGGTCTCGGAGCGAGCTAGATCCTTTTTACAATGACAAACCGCATTGTGTTCCTTGGTATCCAGTATCCAGGAAAAATTTATACTCGAAAGATATATTAGAGCCTTATAGTGAGCTGTAAAATACTAACGTTCTAGAAGATTCATTTTGAGAATATACTCAAGTCGGAATACTAACAAACATAGAAGAGTATTTCAAACAAAGAATGGTAAGTAGATCCACTAATTACCCAAACTTCCATTCCACTCTATCTATAAGAATTTTTGAATATCTTTTCCATTTCCTCCAAATAATCTGAAAAGTGTTTCTGTATGAAATTGGATGATCATTTAGTTCATAATCACCACCCCGCCTTTAACTTTAAAACCACATTTGTACACGATGGATTTAAGATCAGTGTTGCCGTTTGAAAATTTTATTTCTGCCCAAAATTTCCCCAAAAAGTGCCCAAAATCAACAATTTATGCCCAAAAATTCAAAAAGTATACACTGACGTTAAATATTAAAAGCAAGGGTCCTTTTTGTTCTAATTTTTTCCATTTACAAATGACCGTCTGTCTGTCCAGTCATCCGGTGCGCACGATGTCTTTCGAAAGAAGTAACCGATCTCATCCAAACTTAGCACATCATCACATTTTTTCCAAATTTAAATCAAGTTCGGAGATAGAGAAACCTTCTGTGTCGAAATTTGTTCATCCTATATCAGATGAACGGAATGTCTGATACAAACTTTCTACCTACTTTTACCAAACCTAAATCAAGTTCGAAGATGGGAACCCACGGGTCATTACTTCAGGTCAACATTTTAAAAGGTTGTAAATATTGATTTGATGCATTGATTGTATATCATAATATTTCACCAAATTTGCATTTAATCCGAATATGTGGCCTCTATGGCATAACCCTTTGATAAAAACATGTACCTTATATAAAGCGAATGGTAAATAATGTGTGGTCTAAACATGAAAGACCTTAATACTTATACTTAATATAAGTTTTGGTGCAATTATCGGTCACAATATAATAAAAAAGTTCAACCTTGGCTATAGAGTGTAATTTCAAAAACCTAGATTCAGGGTATATATATGTCGAAAACCGATAGAATGACCTTGAATAATACCAGGAAGCGGAGCAGAATATTCAGACGTGGCTGACCATAAAATACCCTACACACAAACACACTAAATACACATTTTCAGTCCCCACATATGAACATTTTGGTATATCCGACTACATACGTCAAGATAGTTGAAATGATTTCAAAGTACAAATTATTTATTTTATTTCATATGTTCGTGGAAAAAACATGTCCACCATAGAATGACATGATCTTCGATGCCCAGATCCTCTTTCCGGTTAAATTACATGGTCTATAGAGCGATTAGAACCAAACATAAACATCCATGATTTTTTCCTGTGTAAAGTTTAGTCTTGTTCGGGTCATAATTGTGATCTCGAGAGCGACCAGAATACAGACAAAAGTAAAGTTTTAGATCCATTTGAACATATAAGAGTCGTCTTTGGATAGAACCTGATCCACATACAAATGGCGATTAATCCATACAAATTATAATGGACATACAGGCGGAAAAACAGGTCTAAATCGAATCAGCTAGTCAAATATATCGGTGGTCTTGGAGCAATTATTTCGCAGTTTTACAAATTCTTGGGACAATAAAATTTCTCACAACATATTTGTGTAGGGTAAACAAATATATACAAAAATTTAAATGTTCCGCAAACGAAAAAATGCCCAAAATCCGCCCAAGTCCAAAATTTTAAATTTTTTATGCCCATTTTTGGGCATAAATGCCCACTTTCGGCAACACTGTTTAAGATAGTGCTGTGCATGCATGTGAACTGTTGCCCTTGTTTACATTATAAATAAGCTCGTTCTCTGAGTTCTCTTCTAGTAAGTAATTTCATATGCCGGTTTCTCATTTACTCTCCGAGCATTTTCTCTTGTCACTTCTCTAATTAAGATTAAAGAATGTTCACTTTTTCAAGATATTTATACCCTGCAAATAGTGAATATTAAATTTATTATTCTGTTAGCAGCATCTGGAAGAAGACTCCAGAAAAAATATATGTCGTTTTAGTCGTGTTGTTCTTTGGATTATTTTTTTATTATTATAAATTTTGATATCGATATTTCTTTGTGAAAACAGATCTCTAGTCAGTAATAACTTTAACTATAAAACTCTAATTCATAAATAACCTTTCAATAAGAATTATTTATCCTGATCAGAGACGCTTCTTAGAGGCTGATTCCTGTACTTATAAGAATATAATGAATTTAGCTAATTAACTAAATAGGAATATTTGTAGCTGGCTTCGTAGTTATTTCAGGATATGTCGAAAATAGCGAAAATTACGACGAATTATTCTGCCTAATGAAGGTAATTTTTTTATCTATAGAAGGACAACTTCATGCTTATAAAAGTCCAACTTTCTATAGAAGGCCAGTGTATATGTATAAGCGATAAATATTCCTAATATGGTCTCTACGTAAACTTTATTGCTAAGATTTCTATAAGATTCCTTACTGAGAATAACGAAATTCACGAATTTCCCTTTAAAATTTCTATTGAAAATCTCAACATATCTTGAAGATTTAGCCTTTTTATTGTGTCAGTATCTAGCCACGGCAAGAGTGCTTCTCAAACATTAAACGCGATTTTCTCGAAACAGTGTTTTTACAATCTGTATGTACATAGCTAATAATCGAAATCGATCAAGATATTTTTAATTTTCTAACATTGTTTGTGTTCGGAAATCGGAGATTTTCAAAAACACACAAAAAAAAAAAAGAAAACAAATCTTTATAAGTCTGTCATTTGGTTAATTTCGGTGCACAGTTAATAGACCTGTTCCATATAACAGTCAGAAATGTACTCTTCCGAAAACCGTTGGATTTTTTGGAATCGAATGTTTCAGTGATCGCAAAATTATATCAATTCATTTTGTACTTTTATGCAGATTTACAATTTGAAATCCAGAATGGGGGGTCCCCTAAAGATATTATTGTGATTTATTTTTCTTTAAATAAACTGTAATGTAATTTCTTATTTATTCTTTTAGGTAATGTTTTTGACATGAAAACACAATTATGAGACCACTGATTTTGTCCATGATGGTCAGCATTTCCTTTATTTTTATTTTCTCGTTTTGTGGGCGTGGTCTTTCTATGTAAATTTCCTAAAAGATATTATACTAAGATATATAAATTTAAGTTGGATCATTTTTTACTAAAACAGAATAACTGGTCCTAGAAATGTTTCAATTTCACATCTCTCATGTTATGGGATTTTATTGTGTGTGTCAAAAGAATTATGACACCTTCTTCTATTTTTTATCTCTGTTGAATTAAACTGTCCATAAATACTTCTACAAGGTAAACCTCTTATATTTCGGGAATTTTAATTTAAAAAAATAGATCACTGGCCTATACCTTCTTATGGTCATCCAAATTAAAGCTAGATTTACTTGTTTTCAATTATATCGTTATTACCGAAAAATATTTTGTTTTTTTTTTTAAGAAAACAATGAACCATTGAATTGAAAACTAGTTTTGTTGACATTTATTGTTTCTTCAAGGTTTTTTTTTATAAAATATATACTTGTTTAGCGGTAAATCTAATTTAAAATGCACAAATATGTGTGTGACCTATAATCTATGGATCAAATTAAAAACAGAAAACCAGAGAATAGATTTGATGGAACCAAATAATTTTGGGAAAAAACAAAAACAGGCGTCATGTGCCACATGTTTTTACACTTTAACAACAGAGTTAGGATTAATTAACATTATCATTATATAATGTTAACAACATTGTGATTTTTGGCGCCTATAAAAATAAATAAAACAAATTTATTTTTATTGTTTTTCCAAATTATATTATTAAAATAAAAAAAATGGAAAAAGATAAAACAATATATTTAGCCAGTTATGAATGTTCTGTGTTACGGCATATTTTGCTAAGAAAATTTTTTTATACTTATATATGACATAATTATTTATGTATATAAATGTACTTTTTTATTTTGTTTACATATTATATAAAGCGAAATAATTATTTTAAGGCTATGGGTTTTTGTTTTTGTATTTATTTAGGCGTGTTTTTGAATGGTGGCCAACAATTTTTCAGCATTGGCACCGGCGAACTTCTCCAATTCTTGCTTCTTCTTGATGAACAAGAAAGTGGGCATGCTGGAAATGTTGTATTCCATGGCGACATCTTCGCATTCGTCAACATCGACCTGGAGGAAGGAGAAACAAAATTTAGGAAGCGATTAGTAAAAATTATTTTCTTATGTAGAAATTATAATCTTAGATTTGATTTGTTTTTTAAATTTACCTTAATGACAACAATTTTATCAGCAAATTCATTGGACAATTCCTGCAAGCGGGGAGCAATCATTTTGCAGGGACCACACCAGGTGGCAAAGAAATCAACAACAACCAATTTGTCGCCGGCATTTTCCAATTGTTGATCGAAATCAGACTGCAAATAGAAAGAGAAAAAAATCGGATACATTAGTAAAATTGTTTATGCCAGTACATAATTAAAATTGCGTGATTTAACACTAATGGAAAACTTTTTTACATTTTAGGAGGACATAGTATTATGAAACTTTACTTTTTTCATTTGTAAATGGAAATCTAAATTCTGTGACATTATTGTAGCATACTTTCAGGCACCAAAATAAAATTCAATGAATTAACGATTTAAATTTCCTTTTTCCCCTAACCACTCATATCTACCTCGTTAATTTTGCCTTACTTTGGACAAAGACATTTGATAGCAGCTATCAATGGAAATGTGTGTGTCAGTTTTTTTATTATAATTATATAATTTGCAATGTTTATTAAGGTTGGTGTTCGCTGTGTGTTTACCCAGTGTCTAATGAAATTATGGACAAATTAGTATAGGAAGGTGGATAGGTTGGTGGTTGGAGGAGGAGGAGGAGGTATCATCAACCTGGTCAATAAAGTCGGTGGTTTTATTAATAAAAATAAAAAAGGTATTTGTTAAGGGACCTGTGAAATTGGGGTGTATTGAAAAAAGTTAAGAGGTTTTAATAAACAAAAAAATAAATTAAAAATAAATGTTCAAAATTGTATGTTACTTTTTAAAAAATGTTAATGTAAGAGGCGACTTTCAAAGGATTTTATAAATAGCGATTTTGCAATTCATTACTGACTTATTTGGAAAATATATTAGCCAAAAATTTCGGCAATTTTTATACCCTTCACCACACTTTGGTACAGTGTATTAAGTCTTTGTGCATATGTTTGTAGCAGGCAAAAGGAATCGTGATAGACCCATGGTTCCTTTTGAGAATATGCATAGAATCACGTTCTGAGTCGATTTACGCATGTCCGTCCGTCCATGTATTTTTGTGAACAAAGTACAGGTCCCATTTATAATTCGATTTGAATGAAATTTGGCCCAAGGAGACAAAATTTTGCACAGAGTATTGAATTAGGCCCAGATTGATGTATGCGAAGTTTTGTTGAAATTTGTTCAGATTTAGATATAGCTCCCATATATAGTTTCCTCTGATATTATGTAGATGGTGCATCGTACTATCGATGTTTGTCCGATTGAGACAACAGCATATTGTGCTCGATGTGGGTATGGCCATTGGAAATGTGGAGGTGTCTATTCTTATTTCGCTGGCACTCGAAATATTTCGTCATCAAAGTCCTCACTTTTTTACTTCATTTCTCTATTTTCTTTATAAAAATATCCAACTTGTTCGTTACACCCTTATACAGCAAACAAAGAAATTAGATAAAGTTGAAGTGTGTTATGGTATGGGAATATAAATTAAAAAAATGGCTATAAACAAATATATAACCCCCTTCTTTTGTTATGCTTAATCGTTACGATGCGATTACAAATTTTTATGGGGACAGGGTTCAAATGCAAAAACAAAAAATTAAATCCTTATCAAAAATATAAGCAAAACCCCAAAAAATGAAATCCTTATCAAAATTAAACCACATGGTCGGCTCTTATCTATGGTTCATTCCTTAAAAACTGGAATATTTTTTTTGTCGAAATGATATGATTTTCAATATTTTTGCCATATAAAGTTACCTTGCCGTCTGGCTGGCTACCACCTTCTAAATAGTATTCAAATGCAAAAAAAATCCCAAACCTGTCATAGCCACCATATTTGATTTGAAAGTATGAAAAGTAAATGAATGAATGCCGTGAATAAATGTCATAATGCGGCGATTGCTGGCACCTTTGTAATAGGGGTAGAGTATAGCACCGCTAACCTTGTATTGTACCACACCGATTAATTGAATGTCAGTCAGGCCATACTATATCAACCTAGCTGTGTTATAGATACTGAAATATGAGAATATATGCCAGTGGGACAATTGGAATTGTGTATAATAGATGAACTCTCATACAATGATAAATTATTTACAAAAAAGTATTTGTCATGGCGAATATAAAATCGTAATTGAAATGGAAAAACCCCTACATTTGTATAATTGTTTTCAAAATAATTTTGGGAAATGGAGTTGAAGTCAAAGGGTAGTTATACGGAAAAAGTAATCAATGTAACGTCCACTGGGCAATGTTCGTGCGTGGTATTATTAGATGAACATACTATAAGGTCTACCTAAGCTCTACATGGAGTTGATTAAATCCTCAAAAAATATAATTTTGTATGTATTTGAAGAAAAATTGAAACAAGAGCCACATGTTAAATTCGTTTTCGGCTTATATTAATTGTTTTATGTTCTAAGAGGATAATAAAGCAACAGACCCATACCCTTACTTAAACATTGTCAGGTCTCACAATAGATTAAGCTGGGCCTAAGAGGGTTATAAGGCCTATGACTCCATCTCCAATTTTGTAGCCAATAATGATTCACATTATAATTAATGGTACCCACATACACCTGTACATATATTTTTTTCAATTATTAATTACTCTTTGTGTATTATAAACAAAATTTATAAAATACTGGTTTTGTTTGGCGAATGCACGTTATTTCAATGCTAAGGTTATTTGCTAATCATTTATTTATAACAAATTACCATATTTTGTTTTTAGCTTGTGCATGATTCACACACACAATTAAAAAAAATGATGGAATTTCTGTCAAGCATAGCTTGAATTTTTATTGAGAATTTTGTTTTCTCATTTGATTTTATTTCATAGTTTTTGATTTGTCCACATTAGTCACTGATCAATGAGATTAGATAGAATCAATGTGAATCATGTTGTTGTTTTCTTAATTTTATTAAATTAGTATGCTAATATTACCAATAAAGTTCGAAATGAAAAAATAACTCAAAAGAGAAATAAAAATATAAATAAAATTTGTAACTATTTTTATTATCCAAGTTCATTGAACTTTCGTAACAATAACTAAATTTTATTCTAGTGATAATAAAAATAAAATTTGTAGGAAGAACCTAACTAATTAAAATTCAGCTATTTTTTGAGGAAACGTGTCAGAGTTTTGAAAACTAAAACTTTTCCGCAAACAAATGTCAATAAAAACACTGGACCACCATGGAATACTCCAACTTTATCAAAATTGAAGAACCATAAAAACAAAATACATATAAAACATTTAAAAAAGTAGACCTTCTATAGACTTTGCTAGTTACTGTATTGCAAGGTCAAAATACACAATATTAAATAAAAAAAAAATTGTATAAAATCCATGAATTGAGGACAAAAGGAATTCTTGTGCAATCCTAAAAGTTTTTATAGTTTCATAAATAAAAAACGTCGGACAAATATGTTCCCTAAGATTTTAAGGTTTGGAACAAATGTTGCAAGTGATGACGCTGGCATCACAAATTTATTTGCATACTTCTTTAAAACCATTCATTCTAATAAAACTCACGATGTCTCATTTCAAAATATCCATATACTATTTCTGATTATCCCTCAATAAACGTGCAAAACTTTGATGTTCCAGTAGTTTTTAAAGAGCCTTAAAAGTCTAAAAAGTGTAACTACACATGGACCGGATGGTTTTCCGGCTTGTAGTCTGAAACATATAACATAGCACTCCCATTATGCATTATATTCAACAAATCTATCAGTTCGGGTGACTTTCCAGAAAAATGGAAGGAATCGTACATCACTCCCCTTTTCTAAACAGGAAATAGAAATGAGGTCTGTAATTACAGAGGAATTGCTAAACTAACTAGTATTCCAAAATTGTTTTGAAAAATAGTCACAGATATATTATCATTTCAGGTGTCGTCTGTTTTATCGAAATACCAACATTAATTTTGGAAATCTCGATTAACTATAACAAATCCTTTGGAACTAACCACTTTAGTAAACGATGGATTCAAAAGAAAATATCAAACGGACTGCATATATACCGACTTCAGTAAAACCTTTGATAATGTTAATTTAAATTTATTGATACAAAAATTGAATAAAATTGATTTCAGTCCTTCTTTTTTGAAGTGGATACTCCACAAGAATTAGATTAATGATTTATACTATATAAAAATATATTCTCTTTATAACAAAATTAAAAATTTTCAAGATTGTCAATTGTTTTAGTATTCTTAGCCACCCAGTATACTGCATTAATTAGTATCTCTTTTTGTTTTAAAAATGACTAATAAATTCTATTATAAATTCCGATTGGTTGCACTTGATAAAAAAAATATATTTCCACACAAATTGATAAAGCCAAACATTAGAGCTTTTTACGTCACGTTTTGTGAAATAAATTAACTTAATTGTTTTTCCCATTTTTTGCTGAGTCATGGTAATGATTAAATTATTTCTAAATTGAATTTTCAAACAGTCATTTAGAGATAGAATAATAAATTTCTATCGTTCCGTATTTCTACAAAACTTCTAATCATGCTTTATCAGTGGCTGTATTTATGACATTATCCATTCAATAGGAAAGACTTAATGCGAAAAAGATGACATTTTCTATAAGCTAATGATCATGAGGCTTCTTGACAACTACCAGGTAGCTTTCAGTAATATTTCAATAAGATATATCATTTCTCCCATGTACTTTTCCTTGTTTATCGATATGGCGCCAAAAGAGCCGTGTGAAATATTGGTAATATTTTGTAAATACCACGAAATGTTGAGATCTGACTAAAGATTTAGGGTTATTTATATATGGGACTATCAAAAAAATCACGTACGATCAATGCAACTCTTATTTCTGAAAATTCCAGGTAAAGCCACAAACATGAAACTTGGGAGTAATTGAGGTTTTCTAATTATAATGATGATATTATATACGGATGGGGTTTTCAAATTACCCATTCTGTAATGTTATTTTTATAAAAAAAGAAGTTGGATTTTCATGGCCAAGAATTGCAATTAATACCGCAGACATAAATACATACATGCGTTTATTTTATTTTTTATTTATTAAACAAAAAACCACAAACTTCGTGAACACCCCTGCAATCCATTTGCATGCTTATGCACATTTACTATGTATGTACCCAAATACCTCAGAGAATAGCCCCCGTCATCATCAATAATAATAACTGTAATAAATGGAAATGTATGTCACATCAGACTCTTATCGCTTTTCCATTTGATTTTGAGGTCACCTCTAACCACCACGCAATGAAACAGCAACAACCCCTTGCTAAAACATTAAAAACTCGCAACAAAAAATATGACACGAGACTTTATTTTAATAAATAATACTACCAACAACAACAAACAACCCACACACCTTATTTTTCATTACCTTTATCGAACTATCCCGCCACCACCGACGATAGCAATCAAAAACACCTATTTCCCTACTCACTACCCCCAATGTGTGTCCACTTGACAACTCCATTTGTTGTTATTGTTGTGTGGAGTTCATCGTCGTAATCAATCGTTTTTATTTTGACACAAATCCCATTGCATGTGAGGCACCCTGTTTAGGGGGGGGGGACACCACAGCAGTAATGTTGGCTGTTTGTTTTTGCTGTTATTGCTTTTTTGTTGTTTCCTTCATTGAAGGTACAGAACTACAACGAATTTCATAGTTTTGTTTGTCCGTTTTTTTGGTTTTCTCATTCCACCGGTCTAATTAAGAGAACACACATTCTCCCCTTATTGAAATGCACACGACATTTGAACTTATAATCTTGCCCAGAGATGGGAGTTGTAAACTCAATATGTACAGAGAACGTGAGTTCTTGTACACAAATGTGGCAATTTCTTTAAATTTATAATGACACAAAAAATTAAAGTAGTTTAGATTAGTCGATTCTAGCTCCAAAAATGTTGGTCAATAGCCCATTACAATTTCTAAACAAAATACAAAATTTCGTCACGAAATTTTTCGTTTTTGGTTCGACGCTAAATGATCAAATATATAGACCCAAAAACTTGTTTGTGTGTTTTTCTGATCGCACAGAGCATTTTGCCGTTTTGGACATTTTAGACCAAATTTGATCCGAAAAACCAATTAATTTTTGTTTGTTCGTTAGCCATTTCGGTCCATTTCCAAGCTAATAATTTAGTTGAGAATTCCGTTTCAGATTTCAATGTTGCTCGGAAAATCTGATTTTGGTCCCTATGTATGTTCTGGAGGTCAAAACGTTGATCCAGCCATCACAAGAGAAGTTAATCGTGCTAACATAGCTATTAATCTGTCAATAATTATCCAATCAACAATTATCAAGAAGGGCGCATTTTTTAGAATAGCCCCCATATAAAGGTATTTTGAGTAGTTTGGGCACATTTTTAACCGATTTAGCTGTAATATTCGGTATTTTGGGGATTATGGCCGCGTTTTTTACCGGATGGTCTCTTATTATCATACTATAAAAAATTTACCATAGTATAACTAGAGATACGTAATCGAGCGCAGAAGTCGACATTTCGATTTTTACTTCGGACCAAAAAGTCCTGTTCAAAATCAATTTTCGAATTTTACCAACTAAAGCAAAATTAACTAAAAATTTATTTTTTTATAAGAATTGTTGTCAACAGATGTAATTTTTGGGCAAATTCGGTTTTGTGATAATATACCACGTATTTATGAAGAAAATCGAAATTCGATCTTGAAAAGTCGACTTTGCGATTTTCTCAAAGATCAAAAGTCGACTTCGACTTTTAGACTTTTCAATATCCCAAACGTATATAGGTATAAAAAGTTCTGCCCAGCCGAACTTTGCGAACATTTTACTTGTTTTCTTGATTAATTTGAACATTTTTGCCAGTTTCTTGTGTTCGTTAATACACTTTAAATATCCATTATAATTATTTTAAATATTAATAATTCGTTATGCCCATCTCTGATTGAGATACTCAATCTCGCTCTCTATCGTACTATCTCTTTAATATATAAAATATGTTATAAAAATTGAAATTGTGGAATTCAAAAGCTTTGCTGCTTGACTGTCTTTTATCGTAGCGTTTATCTGTTTCTATTTGCAATTTCGCCATTAAACAATAACAAGAAATAAAGTGCAAAAGCACAATAGACAACAAAATACACAATGACAGAAAATAAAAGAAAGAAAAAACACGCAAAACATAGAACACATACGAATAAATATTGGCATAAAAAACCAAATACAATTCTCCTCTCCAATAGACGGATGGATGGTGATGATATCATCAATGGGTCGCTGAAGAAGGTGGTGAAGGTTGGCGGATTTCTGGCAAGGAATTTGACCATAACATTCGTTTGTGTGATTGCTGCGAAGCGGGCCAACAACCAAATCGCAATCGCGTTATGACAGCAAATTCAAGTTATACGGCAACTATGCGGCATTATTGTCTGACACATTTGTCTGATTACTTAATTGACTACATAGTAGTAGTCATATATAAGATTGGTCGCAACTACAACAAAAACAACACTTTGAGATTTCCATTTGAATTTTTTTTTCAATCTTTCACCACAAAACTAACTAGGGTATGTGTAATTGGCCCTTTCAAAATAAAAAAACACGTCATTCTTTATGGTCTATTTTTCTCGTATTCTTCTTCTTTTAACCTTTTTTCATAGTTCGATTGTTGTTGTAGATGGCACTTGATTTATATTTTTCTATTTCACAAAACCACGCTGTATTTAGCACTTTTATTCGTTACGTTTATATTTTCGTTTTCGTAAAAAAATAATCGTTTTTTGTCACTTTGCAAAACTTGAGTTGAGAACTTACCTTGCTTGTGACAGTGTAGACCATTTTGATGTTGTTTTTTTAATAAATGCTTAAGTCTTTTTTAAAAGAAATTGGAGCTACAAGCAACCTTATCGCAATGATGTTACTTTAACGAATGCCGCCACTAAAAATCGTACAAAAGCAAGTCATATTAAAATACTTAAGTATGCCGCTAGTAGTACGTACCAATACCACTACACATGCACGCTTTTTCATATTTGTTGTTTCTATTGGCGGTGAGAAAGCCATAAGGAGGGAGCATAAATAAATGAGAGGGAGAATTAGGTAGGAGAGCAACCAACCAACGTTTGCTAATGACAACTGTTGGTGGTTGAGCAGATGCATGTATGAATGACAACCGGAAAACAGAGTTGTATTTGAGAATTTCACCACACAAAAAAAAAATTCGTTATAAATTACATATGACGACAACAAATGTAAAAAAAAAACAACATTGTTCATTGGCATTTGAAGATGTATCTTCCTTTTTCTTGTTTGAAATGTTATTGATTTCTTATCAGATAATTAGTGTTATTTCCACTGCAAGGAAACAATTTAACACACTTGGACATGTTATAAATGTAATCTAATGTATAAATGTTTCATTATTTCCTATTCAAATGCTAATCAGATATCGTCATTGTTCTTGAAATATAAATATAATAATAAGAATTACACAATTTTGAATCAAAATGATGTTATAGGAAAAAATAATTTTTTGAAAAGTGGGAGACTCGAAAATCGAGATAGACATATGGTTGTCCATAGAATTATCCTAGGGGCTGGATTTAATCGAATTTTTCGGCACCATACAAATGTATGTCGATAAATTCGAAGAAAAATAATAGATTTCTTTTTTCCCAAACTAATATTTATTTGGTAGGTACAACTCCGTATTTTATGGATTTAATTATGGACTTCAAAAATCCTATATTCTTGTATGAATATAGAAAATGGAGAAATATTAACCTGTTAACTAAATATAAAACAATAAAAAAATGTTAGTCGGTGTTGTAGACAGATCTATATATAATCAGCCTATGGTTTGCTGAGGTCCTCGCAATTACACACAGAAATTTAATAAATTTTAGAATTTTAAAAAATATTGACCGTTTCTGCGGTTGGGCTTAATCAAGGCTTGTTAAGATAAAAGACCTACCTAATATAGGATTTATAAATATTGAAAATTTCGAATCTTTGTGGAGGAGGTATCAGAAAGAGTGGACCAATGTGTCTCATCTTCAGACTTCATCTAGGCTTGGTTGTGTAAAGTTTGTTTCGAATAAGACATTTCGTTCGCCTAATATTAAATTTTTAAATATTGAAAATGTTGACCATTTGTGGGGAAGGTGCCAGAAGGAGTGGACCAATGGTTCCCATCTTCGGACATTTTCTAGGCTTTGAAAAGATAGGCTGTGGTTCAAATCGGATAGTCCGTTCGCATAATGTAAAATTAACTTTTTGCACAATTTTGACCATTTTGTGAGGGAGGTACCAGGAGGAGGGGTTTCATCTTCTTTCTTGATCTAGGCTTGGTAGATATAATACGTTGTGCAAAGTTTGGACATTCGGACATTCTATACGCCTGATATTGGATTTATTAATATTAAAAATGTTGACCCTTTCAGTGGGAGGTACCAAAAGGAGTTGAACAATGGGTCCCATCTTCGGACTTCATCTTGGCTTGGTAAAGATAATTGGTTGTGCAAGGTTTGTTTCAAATGGAGCATTCCATTCGCCTGAAATTGGATTTAAAAATATTGAAAATTTTGACACCTTGTAGAGGAGGTACCAGAGGCAGTGGATCAATGGGTTTCATCTTGCTGCTTGATCTAGGCTTGGGAAATATAATTGGTTGTACACAGTTTGGTTCAAATCGGATTGTCCCTTCACATGATATTATAAAATAAATTGTTAGCACAATTTTGATCTTTTTGTGGCGGAGGTGCTAGCAGGTGTGGACAGACATTTCTTATCTTCGCACTTGAACTAACTTTGGAAGAAATATTAAGATGTGCAAAATTTGGATGAAATCGATTATTCCCTTCGAGAGTTTTCGTGCTCACCAGCCGACCAAACAGACAGACGGACAGTTTTAAATCGACTTCAAATTTCCTGAAACGGATTTGGTCCGACGAAACAAGTGGTCTAAATCCAATATTTCGATGAGTCACATTTTCAACATATCAAAGTGTATATACATATACCCTCATTAGCCATAAGACTGAGGGTAAAACAACCAAATGGATACTTTTGACTGTGACTCTCTGCATATATACCCTAAAAAATAATTTTTTGAAAAAGAAAATTTAAATTTAATCTCAAAAAGGATTAACAATTCAATAAAGCAATTTTCAAAAGACATTGGATTTTTTTTAGTTTCAGCAGTAGTAGGTTCCGTAGAAAGAACATTCTTTTGGAGATTCTGATCTTCTTAATTACTTCAAAAGTGTCAGCTGTATTTTTGGTCAATTTATTGTATAATTTTCTGTAATCAAACCTATTTCTTATATATTATTTCATGATGAACATAAACTAAAATTTAAGTTAACTTTTTAAGATTTTGAAGACACAAAACTAATTAATTTTTGCATGTAATAATTGATTAACAGCGACTTGTGTCCTGTTACATCAATTTTTAATTCACAAGGTTTATCCGATTTTCCAAGCCTGACACACACTTATTCCCTCTCTCCATTATGCACCCGATCTAAATGTTTTATGATTTTTAGTTCTTAATTTTTCTGTATTAATTTTTTTGTGTAAAATGTGTATTTAAACATTTTAATAGTAATTAAATAATAACATTTCTACAACAATAAGTTTTAATTCACAATGACTACCCATTCAATCGTCATACTGACTGAGATTTAATACTTGCCGTCTATTAAATTTTCCAATCCTCACAAACACTTTCCATTTCTCCTTGTTTTAATTCACAATGACTAACCTTACAATCGTCATACAGAATGACATACTTTGACGTCTATTCTATTTGACAACCCTCACAAGTACTCTCACCATTGCTCTTTGAAAGAAAATGTCATACTCATGCGAAAGCTAAAAACTATGAAAACGATATGTTGTTCTCTATTGAATTTTCCAACCTTGACATGCACTCTCCAGTACTACTTCTTATAATGAGCACATGTGACACCCATGAGAAAGCTAAAATCTATGAAAACACATTGTTCTGTATTAGTGAATGCTGTTAACTAAAAAACGTATACTTTCATATAATGCATATTATGGGATATAGATGGATATAGACTGTTATACGCTTAGCGATTCAACCAACCATACCATAACCAATGTAAGCAAAGACCTCGACCATAGCCCAAGTATTACACACACATTTACACATAGATGGCGATGCATTTATTTCACATTTTCAAGTTTAGATGGCGATATGTTTACTAAAAATAATTTTCAACAAAAATTGATTTTTTTTTAATGATTTTTGATTATTTTTTTGATTTTGTTGATTTTTTCCGCGAAAATTGGATGGGAAAACAAAAAAAAAAACAACGTTTTTTGTTCACGGATAAAAAAATTTTCCGCGAAAAAATTTATTATCCGTTATAGTCAAGACACCAACCTTATCCAACATTTATCCGTAATTATAGTCAAGACACCAACCTTATCCAACATTTTCGATAAAATTAAATCGTATATCGTATATCGATCGACGACATTATTTATTTATTTATTATCTATCTATTATCGTATTTTTTGATTATTATTTTTTTTTTTTATTATTTTTTCTTATTATTTTTTTTCTCTTTCTCTCTCTGAAATGCAGTGGAATTTTTGGGAAAAGCTACTACTAGCCAGCCCTTCTTGATTCTTGATTTTTTTCATTTTTGAAATTATTATGTCCGTCCTTCCTTGCTTGTTAAGCTAAATTTTTTGTTGATGCCCCTGGGAAATTCAGAGTTGTTACGATATCATAACAACAGAGCGAACAATATTAAACGTTTTAATCTCTTTATAGCAAAATAAAAATATATATTTTATGTGCGGATGGATCTCTGATTTTATTTACATTTTAAACCAACATTTTCGTGTATTAGCGTTTTTATTCTTAACATGCCCCTGGATATTTCTTCATAAACTATTTTGTCAAAATGCATAAAGACTCGACAACTTTACAGTTTCTATGTCTTTGCACTGAAGTTTGGCCTCTCATTGAGCGATTGTCGGTACTATTTGGGGCGAAAAATTTCTTTTGAAGTTAGATATTGTGTTAGATAGGGTATATTCAATTTGTACGTCATCGAGAGAATAATTTCCTACCAATATATATATATATATATATACAGTGGTGGTCACGTAATTAAAACATTTATTGTGGTACACATTTTTTGATCAGCCCTCGATTCGTTTGAAGTATTTTTGAAAATTTTTGTTGTGACTGATATATTTTTTGATAAAATATATTCTCTACTCCTCGAACAATCGATTTGATATAATAAATGCCAATATCGATCGATATTTTCTCACATACTGCAAAAATATTCTGCCCTTCTTCAATAATGGTTATCGAAGTTGAATCGGTCCTTTAGGTTAATTCCCATTTTTTGAGCTTTTATTTCAAATATTTATTTATTTTGAGAATTATTTATTGTGTTCTGCTAATTCTAGCAATTTCTGGTGCATTCGAATCTTTATTTTCTATAAGAAAGGTGATTTTCTGAATGTTAGGTGTACTGTACAAATTTTTAGCAATTTTGGTAGATTTTACAGATTTTTTAAAAAAAAAAAAAAATATTTGTAAATGATTTTATCGGTGCTTAGTATACATTATTTAACTAAATTAAAGAGATTTTTAAAAAAATATTTTCAAAAATGCATTAAAGCAAAAAATTACACAATGTTTTAATTATGTGGCCACTTCAAAGCCGATATCTATATATATAAAAGAGCTTAGTGTTAAGTGAGTGAGTGAGTGAGTGACTGACTGACAGATCATCGCCCAGACGAAACGGCTAAAGTTAGAAGCTTGAAATTTTGAGTGTGGGTTGTTGTTGGTGTTTAGGCGTGAGATAAGGCTGGGTTTTTGGAGATTCGTACTAGAAGGGTACGAAAAGTACTAAAATGTACGAAATAT